AAACTGCAATAAATAAATAAATAAAATTTAATAATGCATACTTAATGTTAAGTGTTCTGCACACTCCAATTCATTATTGATGCTATTTTGCACACGTGCAACTTCTTCGTCTAACAATCGCCCAGATAATGTTGTACAAGATGGCAATACATATGCTGAATTAAGATTTTTGAAGAGATTTCTAATATAAGGATTCTCAATTACTTCAAATGGGATATTTGCCATTACCCAAGTTTTTAAAATAAGTCTATCATAATTAATATTGACTTGTGGTGGTAAAGTTACTTGTAATTGAGAATCTCTTTTATGAGAATTATTTTCTTCTGCAAGTTTATTGACCCAATATTGTTGAATATCTTCAGGTATATTCTGACAATAAAGTGCAAAATGGGACCTTAAAATATAAGGTCTACCTCTCTGCCAGGACGTTCCACATGAAAATATTCTGTCTTGTAATGTTCAGGATTTACTTTTTCGCCCTTAATTACATAGTCCCACACTTTATCAAAGGCAGGGCCACCTTTTCTAATTTTTTTTCGTGAAAGATCACAGTTGGTTTCTGATTCTGATTGTGTAGATTCTAGCGGTGTAGAAGTACCAGAATTTGGTTCAACTAAAGACATATTGCAAACTTTCTATTTGATCCGCAACTTTTATTAATGATTTATTTTTAATTCTTGTTTGATTAATTTATTTATTTTTTATTAAAAAGGATTTATTTTTAACTTTTGTACGATTTATTTATTTATTTATTTTTTATCATAAATAAACTTTTTATTTAGACTCAAAGTCAATATTTCGTATATTATATCTTATATCATGTCTAATTTCAGAGTTATATCCAAAACTTTAGTTACGACGAATATCAGCTATTATGACATACATCTGCTATAGCACTTTTGATGTAACTGCATAACTTTTTGATGTGGCTATACGTCACCAAGTTCCTGCATCTATACTACCAGCCATTGGCTATTTTCGTAATTCTGCTTTAATGACCTATCTTGTTAAAGACCAGCCTAATACTACAAAATTACTTAAGTGGCAAGCTAAATTACTTCTAGCTAGCTATTTCTAGTTGGTGTCATATTAATGTTGGTAAATTCTAACTCTTTTTTGTTATAGACTTCTATATGATATGACCAAAGCTCTGAATTGGTTCTTTAGACGTACAGGAGTAGGTTACATTCTCTACGTTGAGTAGCCTTCTATACACTGGTCGAAATCAAAAATATAAACCAAATATCATCAAGCAATCATCTAATCGATAGCTGGCCGATAGTT